AACTATTTTTCTCCGCCCGTCGTGGTGGGAGTTCACGTCGGAGGTGTGCCTCGCGCGGTTGTGGAGTTCTGTCAGCCGTATGTCAAAAATCGTGAAAAGTAAGTTTTTTAGGCTTTGTTATGATGTTTATATTTTTATATAGGTTTTGTATTTTGGTTTAAGTTATATGTGTTTCGAAAGCTCTTTAACTAAAGATTCATTGTATATATTTGGTACAGTTGATTTCTATGTATTTGCTTCTTCATTGTAGATTAAATAAAAATGAGAGGTTTTATTTCTACTGAGGAGATTTGAAACAGACTGTTTCAACTCTCCTCGGTCTCCTCTACATAGATAACATGAGATATTGGAAAATGGCTGCAAAGCAGACAAATGCCACAGCATACACTTCACGAATGTTGCACACAGCGTGACGGATAGTAACGCTCCTAATTAATAGTCTATGATAACTTTATTTATTTTATTTTAGAATGCCAACTTATTATAAAAGAAAGACTGACAGGGGTATGGCAAGTCGCGAAATATATGATCTCGCAGCAGAAGAAGTAATTTTGCGCCAGAAAAGTCTCCGTGACGCGGTTTCGAGTTATAATCTGAACCATACATCTTTCTGCAGGTATATTAAAAAAAAATGCTTATGAAGGCAACGAAACGGCAACTGCTCCTAGAGTTGGATATCCTGAAAAGACTGTTTTTACAGCTTCAGAGGAGAAGGCAATCTTTTAAACTGCGCTGCTGTTAACTTTCGCCTAAGAACTAAAGAAGCCAGAACTTTTGCCTATAAATTGGCTGTAAATATAATATATAAAAAATATAATAAAAAAATCCCTTCTGCTTGGACTGCTCATGAAATGGCTGGAAAGGTTTGGCTTCGATCATTTATGAAACGGCATCCTGTTCTTTCACTTAGACTACCTCAACCTACAACTATCGCTCGAGCTACAAGTTTAGCAGATCAAATGAACAACTTTTTTTCCAAAATTATACTACAGGGTTACAAGGGAAGGATATATGGAAAGTTGATGAACCAGGTATCACAACAGTTCAGAAACCAGACCGCATCATTGTAATACTTAAGAAATTACTGAAAATTAATAACTATTGTATGTTAAAGATTGAGGAAGATCCTTTTTATTTAAGTTGAAGGTGTAATTAACTCCTTTAAGAGTTAAATATATTTATGAGACCTGTAGTTACATACTTGACTGATATATCAGTACAAAATCCTTATATAAAAAGTTGTTACATACTAAAAAAGTTTTATTTGAATAAATACCTTGAAATTATATAATCATTTTTATTTTACATCCCTTAATACTTCTCAAAAATCATATGTTTCAACTCTCCTCGTCCCCTGTTTCATTTTACCTCGGTATTAGGAGAGTTGAAACAAATTGACTTGTTACGGTTAAGTCGATGTCTACCACAATATTTAACGTTTACAACTACTTTACGTTAGTCATTCGCAGGTGTAAATAATTACCTATCGATTGGTACTAATATCATACGATTTCTGTGTATAGTATTTGATGTATGAAATAAAATGTCAAAATTGTTTTAACTCTCCCCGGTCTCCCCTATAGTGCCATGTGCGTGTGTATATATGTATATACAATTTTTGATATCGTATTAGTATTGACATGACCTATCTACCATTTTTTACAGTAATATCATTGGCTCTCATTGTTATTGTTTAAGTAATTTGGTGCAACCAGTCCTTGTGTATAATATACAAGGTACATTAAAAACATAAAAACTTTGCAACATAACATTTATTTGTATCATATAATACAAAAATATCACAGTTTATTTTCACATTACATGTACAAGCATTTACAATTTTATTACAATACTTTTCAACAGTTTTTTTAGGCCGTGGTTTGTAGCAAGTCAGTATTTAAGAATAAGTATAAATAAAGCGTGCTAATATATTTCAAAACATATAAATATCACATCAATAAATTTTTACTAATACTTTAACCATGGGGTTTGGGATGGATCACTTTAATATTTACATATCAAATTATCTCATACCTCTATATCCCTTTTCTGTATCAGGTCAATAAAATGAGACAACATATAAATATTTTAGGTAAAGGGTTATTTTACAAACAATCACGCAAAGAGTATAAAGGAATTGCAGAATACTTCATTGTGTTAAGAAAATTCCTTAATACATAATTTGAGCAATAACATGCATGTTGTTTTCATTAAATCGGGATTATTCAGGACAAAATTATGAAAATTATTGATGATTAACAAACAAACAGCCAGTTGCACAAACGTCCATCAAAATTACAATAGTTTAAAGCGACATTACTTATACAAATTTGACATTCATTAGAGTTTAACGGCGTCATTAAACTTTAGTGGACTTTTGTGCAACTGGCCGAAAGTTAATTATTCCTAGATTGTATCAACTGTTACTGAGCGATTAATTGATAGATTTAATGAATTAATCAATTATTTAACATATGACGGGATATTTCCTTTTTGTGGGTCTCTAGAGATCCTCTAAAAAGTTGGGACAATCCAGACCAATCCCGACCATCTGGCAACCCTACCTGTGTTCGACCTAACGCATTAGAACTTGCAGAGTTCATCCATCAGTTGTTTCATTAATTCCTATTCCTCATTATGACGTTATCGTAACAAGAAGTTCCCGGATGCAAACCGGAATTTTCCTATGAACGCAAGAATCGTGCGTTAGTACATAAATTCGTTGCCAGCATCCCTGTAATTAGATGCAAGAGATCTTTGCGGTTTGTAACACATAGCATTGATCACAAGTGCACGCATTAGAAGACTGGAAACGCGAGCCGCGATGTATACGGTTTTGAGTTTTAGCTACATCTAAACCAAGTGCGTGTAAATGCAGTACGGTCTTGCAGCCTTATGGCTCTTTAACTTTGGTCAATGATGTGCAGGCAATGTGCAGGCAATTGTTGTGGGTCACTTTCATTCATTGTTCTATTGACCTATGTCATGAGCTTTCAGAGATATCCTGCACTCCACAACCGGACACCATCTATCAATGTAAATGAGCCATTACCTACATATTGATACCAAAATATGTTTTAAAAACACGCCAAGGTTCATTCACCGCTTCGTAACAACAGACAATGATATGCATCAAAATACAAAAACAAAGATAACAACATAGATTGCATGTAATAAGTCAATAGCATGAATGCACTAGGTACTAAATACTAATCTAGTCCCATTGCAATGCGCATGTCCTCCACGTGTGCGCTCATCGCTGCATTTATTAGAGGATTTTCTAGAGTTTTGTGGAAGAAATGAAATAAATAAAAAAAAAAATATTTAAAAAAGTTTTTTAAACGATTGACTGCAAAGTCTTACTTTTTCATTAATGAAACACCATATGACGTTTACCGTTTAATAATTGCAACGAGATTGCAAATGATTATTTTAAGGTTCTTGATCTATACATAAATTAATGAAACTATTAATTAACAACATTATAATAGTAAATAATGTTATTGGTTATTATATTTGATCACTTTTGCGTTCACAATGTTATACTGAAATATATTCTTAATGAAAAACGCTTAAAAATCCATTTTGTCCCTGACACTCGGAGATGGGGTTCGAACCGATGACCTTTCGGAACTGCTCTGCGGACTGCTCTAACTACTAAACTACCCAAAACCTAACAGGACTGTTGAATTTTTCAAGCACTTGTTACTATTTAGCTACTACAGAGCGTATTATCATAAATGTTCAGGCAATCCACCCAAATGGCAGAATAAATATTTTTACAAATATTTAAACTTTCATTAAAGATGAAAATTTGTTCTAATTATCATATTTCAATCAATTTTATATTCATAATGCTATACTGGAAAATATTATTAATGAAAATTGCTTAAGATGTTTGAGAGGATTGCTTGAACATTAATGAAAATACCTATGTAATACTAGCCTGATACAAATACGAGAAAAACGGAAATAATTCGATATAAGCCTGGAATATTTTTAATCGAGTTTGTGAGCCAATTACAAGAGACTATATTTAAGAATCCATCTCATTTTAGCTACGGAAGGTATAAAAAAAACATCAAGTCAAAAAACCTTCATTTCCTTCACGCAAAATAATATACCACGACTTTTTCACAAATTTTGGTTTTATTTATCATAGCGACAATGAAAATTACTGAAATCCAACTAAAAAAATTACAGGAAATAGTGATTTTTATTAAACTTTATTTTTTACATGTTATATTTTTGCTTCATAAATATAAGACTATTGGTTTGCAATATTCCCATGGAAATTTTCATTGGATTCAAAACAAAATATACTTAAGGCAATTTAGTAATATCGATTGAAGTCGAATTTCATTGTTAATATTATTGATTTTTTACAAATATTTTTTAAACATTTATTGTACGTGTTTTATAAAAATATGAGTTTCCAAATATAATATTAGGAATATTTATGTATTTCATGGAAGTAACATAAGTAACAACGTGAAAATACGTAGAAGTCACTTTATATGTATTTTGCTTATGATACCATTGAGAAATTAAAGGAATTTTATTTTTTTCATTAATAATCCGAAAGAAAATGTAGATTAATTAACTCATATATTGAAAAGGAAATATATGTTACCCTCATAATAAAAAAAAGGCTGTTATGTTTCAATGTTTGAACTCCATACTGAAAGTTGGTATTTGTATCAGGCTATACCGAAAGTGCTTGGGAAACACTGGACTAATGAAATAAATATCAGTTAATTACACACTAACGCTTCACTTGGTGCCCTAAATAGGGAACTCTATTTATTCTACTCATTATTTGAGGAGACACCAAATGGCACCTACTCGAATCATTTTCTGGTGGTACAATTGCTTGTTATTACATTTGACTTATGGTCTTATTTAAGCTGTGTAAGTTCCTACAATATAATCATGATTTATCAATTTGTTTGTATTTACAAGTAATATAATAGTAGCGGCCTCGAAACCATGTATCACTGTTAAGTAGACTTAAGTCTCGCGAGTTGAGCCATGATTTCTTTGTCTTCATCTGTAGTGGAAGCTCCGATTTTATTACGTGCAACTGCTGGGGCATCGGCCATCTGAAAAAAAAAAAAACAATTAATAAATTTTGTAATTGTGTAATCAACAGTGTGTAATATACTGTCGTACAGCGTCATCTTAAATAGCGCCTTTTATAGGGAGTATTATGGAAAGCTCGGCGTAGATGGCAGAACTAGCACATAAATTAAACAAAAAAAAACCTTTTCGAACAGTTTGTCTTTGGTAAATGAATGACTTGTATATCTAAAATCTGAAACAACCACGACACTCATATCCAAGACCAACGCAGAAAAGTTAATTTTTGGGAACCGGCGGAGCGACACCTTGAAATCGAAGTGCAAGTCACTCCCCCATGGAGGTCGTCTTCACAGTTGTTTTTATTGTGAAATAAGACAAAATAAGTTACCGATATTATTTAAAAAAGATAAATAGTGAGTTGCTTATGAGTGACTAAGGTCAGTTAAAATTTTATCAAAACTAATTTGAATCGCAAAATTACAAAATTGATCATCAATATAATATATAGTATATGCAAAACAATTTATTTCAATATCAGATATTTTACTAATCTATATGAATAATATGGTTATTAGAATATAACGTCACTCAACAGAACATATATAGAATGTAACTTGTTACTTAATCATGTTTGAACATTTAAATAACTATTGTAATTGATTATCAATTATTAATAACTAATTATATGACTATTGTTTATTTATTAGATAATTCTTGATAAAAACCATGTTTTTAGTACATAAATAATTGCCACAAAATTCACCTTTCCACTGATCTCAATGCCAATTTCATCAAGCACTTGATTCACAATGCCCTCGGTTTCTTGTTCATCACCTGACTCATCCATGATATCATCCAATGTATCTGAAACTATATAAAAGTATTTTATTAAAATAGGGTTTATTAAATGAATGTAAAATACAGTGTGAGATTGACTATAGAGTGAGTATGCTAAAGTGATTAGCATCCTGTAAATATTATTGTTTATGGAATTATTCCATATCTTAATTTGTCGAACAATATTATATTGAACAAGGCCAGAGAGCTCACTATTTTTTTTTCTGAGTTACCATTAATTTGCATACTTTGTTTCATTATTACTTAAATTGTTATACAGCCAGTTGCACAAACATCCATTAAAATTTTCATCACTTTAAAGTGAAGTTGACATTACTCATACATTTACTTCCAAATTTATATTTATATATATCTAATAAAATTTTGAGAGTATTAATTTGAAGTAAGTAAAAAATTAATTCTAATAAAAATTTGACTATTTTTTTAAAGGGTACCAGCCATAGTATAACTTTATAAAGTAATCTTATTGTAATCAATAAATGTTCTTCATGACCAGCATATTAATACCCCCATTGCTGGTGCTCTGGCCTTCCCTATAGATGCAATCAAATCAAATAGGGAGAATGGGCCGTGACCCACCATCCGGGCCCAGTGCAATTGGCAGGTATTAACAAATGCAGCTGGAACCAACACCTTAATGTGCCTTTTGAGGTACAGAGCTCTAGACAATAAATTTTTGGTCATCCATTCTACGACTGACCATTGTGAAAATTGCTTAACAACCATATGGCAGACTGAGCGCAGACCACTGCCATTGAGTTGTTAACAGTCTTATTCTGACTTAAACATTGTGTTTAGATCTCAAATGCTTATATTGTAATTAATGTTTTTATTCTATTGTTGGTAATATTATCATGAACTTACTCATTTCATCTGTCATGTCCATTTTTGCATTGGCTTGTCTAAATGCCTCCATATCTTTCGCAATTTGATGTGGGTTCATCACTTTATTCATGCTGCCCATAGTCTTAGCTGTTGTTCCCATTGCACCTGCTATGGCTATGTTTGCACCCATTGTCTTGTTTTGGAGCTGAACATTTGATATCTAAAATTTTCGTGGTTCCATTAACAAATAAGAAATTACATTCCACATGATTGATTTTGCTCTTTACTTGGTTTGCATACAATCAAGAAGTTAATTTATTGAGGTGAATCATAAATCAAAATGCTATTACAGGATACAGATGTGTGAGAAACATTTGATTTTTTGCTGGACTAACAATCAATAATAATACCTACTTTACTGTTAGCAGTAAATATTCTATTTTTTTGTTTTCTCAACTGCACCAGTTGTTTGGCTAATATTTTGCATCCTTCATTATTTCCTTCTTTAGCCATTTTTTTAATTTCCATTTCCTGTAAATATTTAAAAGACTTCATCAAAAAGTAGCCAGACTTAATTTTACATGGATATGACAAATATAAAATACTTTATTAGTCAATAATTAAATTCCTTACACATTAGCTTTACCTATTATCATAAACATGGGATAAATAATATTTACCAGTTTCTTCTCTTCTCTTTCAAGGGCATTCTTGTCTCTGTCCAAGTCTCTGGCAGCCTTCCGAAGCTCCCTATCATTTTGCCTTTGTTGTTCTGAACAAAAGACATAAAATTTTTAAATATATAACTAAATAAACATTAAGTTATATAAGTATGTACTTCACATAAAGTTTAATCAATAATAGGATAGTATTTTATATAATGTAAGGATAAAGTTATTATTATAGGTAAGGAAGAAAATGTATATTTTTTCGGGCGTTTTTTAAGGGCATTTCAAGATGTGTTTAACAAGAAAAATTATGAACTTGTACTTATTTATTATGAATAAATTAGAAATATGTACAAACTTTGTAAGAATCACAACAGTTCTTAATAGAGTTTTTTTACCTTTGACAGTTGGTTCTTTCCTGAAGAAATTCATGTTTTCTTTTACCTTAAAATACTGGTATGAAAAGAATTTCAGTGTTATAATTTGTTCGAAACGGAGTATATGCAAAACACTTTAATATTTATTTTGAGCTGATGAAATAAGAATGTAATGAATGTAAACAGAACAACACAAAAATGATTCATCAATAGGGATGTAACGATTGGAGTAAATAGAATTACTTGCTTGATACTTTTCTTTCAATATCAAGTATTTTGGTATGGATATTTTAGAAGGGAGTAATGAGTAGTATCGTAAAGTATGTGTTTGTATCGGTACTTGGTCAGTCACTCCCTGAGGAGAGTCAAACGTGCTCTACTGTTCGCTTTATCATAAGAAGACTTAAGTCTTTCTCATGAAAAATTCTCACTGGTGCGGCGTCCTTGTCATATGACAATAAGCATTGCTAACACTTAGTAATTTTGAATAGTCAAACATAGTCGAACAGAGTATTGCTATTGACTATCAATAGTATCAAATCTGATCCAAAAATCACTAACTAACACTATGGTGAGGTATTTTATAACTAATTGATACGAGTAACTACAACACTTTTATTCGATACCGAGTAGGTATCGAAACTTCATTTCCGAAACAGTGTCGAGTAAAAGTATAGATACCTACCTAGATGTATCGTTTCTTCTCTATTCATCAATAGTAATGATGATAAGATTATTGAATATGTAAATTCAATAATCTTATCTCCCTATAAGGAAATCAAACTAGAAGTCGTTACGGTACGTTCTTGATTTCTCCATGACAAACCTTCCTTTCGGTTTTCTTTCATGTTTAACACGTTCACTGCGGCTTGAGGTCGATTCAGCCTAGACTAGGGCTGGTAGACTTTGGGCTGGTGCGGCGCGTATAACTCGTGTTTTCTCTCTCGTCCGGTGGCTGTTTACACTCAACGGTATGACGTATGACAAAGACAAGTATAGATATCTTTATGTCTGCGAAACATTAACTCGATAGTATAAAAAAAAAACACTTTCGGTCAAAATAATCCTCAAACGCACTGAACACAAAATTATTTAATAAGGTGCGAGTTGAAGACGATTCGGATCTCAAGCGGTGGGGGGCGCAGGCGGCGGGGGAGCGGTTAAGTCGACTTTGCCGCTATATAGTCGATATGCACTAATTCTCGGTATAACATTTTATACCACGTTTATAAGTAGCGCTGTAAGTCGTGATGTGAAATGATTATTTATCAATACTATTGAAATTTCATAATTTCCTTTTCTTCTTTAACCTATGTAGTTTGTATCTTTAACTTCGATCACAATCGCTATAATTTCTTTACATTTGAGTGAAAGGATTGAAGTCAAACAAAAATAAACAGTTTTTAATAAATTAATAAAACAACAAAGTTAACTCAAGTAAATCCAATGTTCATATTTTCATCATTTATCATATCTATGTAATAGTTCTAGTTGCAATAAATCTTGACTCTTGCTTAGTGTTACATTATCGTCATTGTATCTCTGTACTTAAGTTTTTATGTATTTAATAATTCGTAATTTTGGTTCCCATTATAATATCACTCGACTGGTTGCCTATTTGACTTCGCCGGAATGCACATATTCTAACGATGTTATTTAGCATACTTTTCGATCCCGTTACCCCTTCTTATTTAAAGGATCGCTTCAAATTTACCAAAGATTTTCATTCTCGCCCCTCGAGATCATCAGAAAATTTGCAATTGGATATGCCGATGCATTGTACATTCTTCTACGATAAGTCTTTTACAGTCCAAGCCGTGCGCTTGTGGAATGCATTACCTGTATCGATTAGGAGAGCTAAGCTCATTTTTAAGGAACGCGTTAAACAACATTATTTGTCCATATAAGCATGCAGTTCATATATATTTATATGAGTACGTATGGTATGTATATGTGTGAAGTATGTATAATTATATTGTTTTTCTTCCTACACAGTATATATGTACACCGTCCACAACCCCATTATTATTAGCTAATGATTTAACTCCATCCCGAGGTTGCCTGGGAGAGATCACTTTTAGTGATAAGGCCGCCATTCGTACGTCTCCTTTTTAAAATTGAAATTGTAAGTGTTATGTGTGTGTATAATAAAGTATATTCTATTCTAATACCTACCTCTATCGAAACCTATATTTAACTCTGGAAATTACGGCTATACGAAGAAACAATCTCTTGATTTCTCAGAATCACTAGCATTGTGAAGAATTAGTACCTACTGATTTTATTTTATATTTTCATACAAATATGATCATGTACGTATGCCTACATGAATGGAGGACGAATTTTCTCACGTCCACAGGAAAGATTACCCACTGTTACCCTGCACGTGTCGTGTTTGGGTGGATTGCCAGAACATTGACGAAAATACGTTCTGTAGTACTTGAAAAATTTCTATTTTGTTAGATCCTGGATAGCTCAGCGGTTAAAGCAGTCACACAGATTGCGAGGTCGTGGGTGCGAGTATCATCTCAGAGTGGCAGGTAAATTTGTTACTATGGTGGGTTCTCTAGAAGAGACCTCTTCCAACAAAGGTAATTGTGGGAGGGTAAGATGTAAGCGGGTTCATTAAATAAAAAAATACAATTATAGTTAAATTCAAAAAAATTGGTTCTAATTCGAGTTATGCGATATGTATTTAATTCGGCCAGACTATATTTTCGATCCAGTCGAGGTAACGAGAGACGCGCGTGTAGACACCGGGCGTGGCGCTGCCGCAGCCGCTGCCGAATGACGTCACGCCCACCACGCTGTATCGAGAGTCCTCGCTCGTAGACACCTGCAGTGGACCGCCCGAGTCGCCCTTCATGTACAGTACATTAAATCGTTACACATCACATCAAAGCCTTAATTCTGTTAACCTACTAATGGCGGGCCAATGGGGTTTCAGTAATATCACCTTTATCAGGCCCGGATCTAAGGGGGGCAAGTGCCCCCACGAGTAGCAACGGGGGGCGCATCATCAGGTTATTATACAAATCATCATTATATAATATCTGCTTACATTAAAAAAAGAACGAGCTTCACAAATCTTCAAGATCCTAATTAAAATAAAAGAAAAATCATACGAAGTTTCTGCACCGGTATAAAATAAATCGTTGATCCGGACCTTAAAATCCGGTTGATTAAATTTTTGACAATAGACTAAAAAATAACAGACTTATAAAATATAGTTTAATGTATTTCACTGCCTCTTACTGAGATTAATGTAACTATTTCACGATATGATCACTAATGCTTGGCCACAACACTAAGCAGTCATATAATCAGCCGCCCATATCGTTAAACGCAAATTATTCATTGATCTGGCGAGGTCACAGCATGGATTGGTCAATTCTACGATCTGGCCACGACATATGCATAAGGTTTAATTCTCTAAGTTCTGATATGAGGGTCGTGGCGTCACGCGCTGTTTACGGTCACGTGACAAATAGTATAATTTTTTTTTTTTTTATATAATTAAGTAAAGCAATACTATGAATACAATAAGCATAAACGTGTGACTATCGGTAATAGTATATTGAACATTACCAGAAAAAAATGTATTTATTTTCGTTTACTATATTGTGAAGTTTCGTATTTTTGATTTCGTACACTAGCGCAAATGGCTCTATATTGCGTGGTTAATGCATGCATTGACATGAACTAATTGACATTGAGAAAGTATTGAGTATCGAGCTAAATTGAGATCGTCATTGGATTGGGTTGAAATTGACATTGAGATTGCGTTAAAGATTAAGCCTGTTGATAGTAAAAATTTGTGAAGTACTAAAAATCGTAACATATATAAAGGTTTTAAAGTCACTGTTACATAATGTCGTACCTGGCAGGCATCACTATTGCCGTCGGGATCGACGGCACATAACTGTTCGGGTATGATGCCGCGCGGCAATTTACGCCACGCGTTGTAATGCGGCGCACATTGGTTCCTACTCACGGAGGATATTGTCGCTTTTAATAGTATGTCACTCTTCAAGTTTTCTGTTGAAAACATCGTAATAATTAATTATCGTGACCGGTTATTAGGTGATTGGCAATTTAGAATATCCAATTTTATTATTTGAAGCAAATTAATAGCTTGCAATTAATAAAGATGATTAGCAAACCTCTATTGTTTCTGAAAAGTAGAGAAATTATACGGTAGTTCCCGCAACTTCGCTCGCGTAAATTATAGCCTGTCACCCGCGTATGATGTAGGTTCCCGTAGGTGAAAGAATTTTCGTGATCGAATCAGTAATTCAGAACAAACAAAACTTTTCCTTTAAATTAGTCTATCTCTGTTTAATCAAAATCATAAACTTTTATATATAATAATAATAACAATATAATATATTCTTTATTGCATGTTACACAGGACATATTACAGAAAAGCTACAAAAAGAGAGAGAATACAAAGGGTGGCTTTATTGCTACGTAGCAATCTTCGAGGTAACCCATGACGAAAGAAAATATAAACTTTATAATAAAAAAGAGAGGGGGAGGGGGTGTAAGATGGAGTAGAAAATAGATAAATCTGAATAACGTAAATATAATAGATAAAACAAAATAGTCATTAAATATAAACATATTATTCGTTTTTGAGGAAGTGTGTCTTCGCTTGTGCAACAAAATAATGTTAAGTGAGAGCCTTTCTTTTGGTGACAGGCAACGATTGCCATAAACGTACCGCATGCCCGGAAAATCAGTAGAATAAGTAGTCTGTAGTATAATGCGGAATATTAAGGACTAAGTTAAAATAAAAGCATAAAGTACATTCTGAAGAGGAGGTACGGATAGGTAAGATAAGCCTTTTTTCAAATAAGGAGGAGTCAAAGGTAGGAAAAGGATATAAGTATATCTCTTCGCCGGCGAATAGGGAGCCAGTTAAGTTTAGCGTGGAAATGTGACACATGGTCATAGTTGCGAAGATTGAACATGAATCTGCTACATAAATTTTGCAGACATTCCAGCATGTTAAGAAACTCTTATGACAAATCAGTGTAACAAATAACAGCGTAGTCAAGAACTGAAAACGAGAGGGTATGAGCCAGGGCAATTTTCGTGTGTGTGGGTAAAAAGTTAAGTCGGTTGAATGAGCCATACGCGGCACATTATCTTCCTGAGCGATTCTAGAGGTTTCCAAGAAAGACACTGGTCAAAAATCACACCGATGTTTTTGATAGATTTTTAATAAGGTATGATCGTACCGTCAAATGTAACAGAAGGCAAATGTTCGAAATCGATCCGAGAAACGAAATGAGCTCTGCCAATTACTATGGTTTCAGTCTTCAAGGGTTGACAGTATAACCAAATAATTTACTCCAATTAGAGATTTTAGAAAGGTCGGAATTTGTAACTGCCACTGCATCGGAAAAATCCATCAACGATGCCTGGGTATTTTATTCATCAGCATAAAGGTGATAGGAACTAGAAAGTGATTGTGTGATAGGATTTATAAACATAGAGAAGAGAATAGGCGATAAGACGCAACCCTCCTCCGGCATGTATTATACCACGAGGAGAAGTTGTCTTCACCGCGATTTTTTTATATATATTAGTAAATTATTATAATAATTTATTTGTTTTTAAATAAAGTAAATAATTTGAATTTGACAGTATATATTGATGCATTAATAAAAATAAAATCAGAAATTTTCCCTTTTATCTATCTATATATAAGGCGCAGCACGTAAATAGAACCAATATAGCATAATATCGGATCTCAATCGAGGTGCGAGGATTAGAGCAACTAGTAACTAATGCAGTATACCGGAAATCGGTGGACTCCATCCCTTTTCCGATTAACGATAGCGTTCATTCAATATGTATAAAAAAACACGCCGCGATCGCAATTGTTATCACATGTCAAACAGTTGCAGCGTGAAGTTCGTGAATAACTTCAAATGTCTCCTTTTTTTTTTTTTAATTGGAAAATTAGCCCTCTAAACCTGCGCGGGGAATCACCATTTCAGTTCAACTTACGTGCCGCGCATTAAGTTCATCTTACGTGTAGTACTGGTCCTTCCCCAGCCTGTGACAGTGACGGGAGCGTCGGGATCAGCATCGCTCGTGTACAAGCATGCTGCGTTCAACGTGCTAGAGATCTCCACCGGCCTCTGTAATCTATGCGACTCCATTCAAATGCAATTCAAATCAATGGAAATCTATATCTACACTAATATTATAAAGATGAAAGATTTGATTGTTTGTTTGGTACGAATAGGCTCCGAAACTACTGGACCAAATTTAAAAATTCTTCTTCTATATTACTTCACGAAAAACAGAAAATAAAGGGATGAAAATGGCAATGCAAGTTTTTATAGGGAATTTAAAAGTTACCGTAGTAACCATTGTTTAATTATATAATTACAATGACAAATTTAATAGTTCTAATATCACGGATATCCGTGTCATGATATGAATCGATATCCAAATAAACAGTTCATAAAGGACCAAGCGGGCGGAGCCGCTGGCCCAAAGCTAGTACTAAATAAAGTATTAATGAATGATCTATAAATTGCCAAATATATACAGGGTCTTAAGAACGGTCGGTATGGGAAATATTTTGTCCTAGGTTTCAACATGCAAACTTTTTGTCCTTGATATTCAACATCCTTTTTTTATTATTATTCACCTTTCGTACTAATTTGAAATTTTGACTAATCAAAATATACTCTTTATGAATGTCAGTTCGTAAAAAATCGTCTGTTGTAAACATGTAAATCACACAGTTACATGTTGTTTTGTAATTAAAATAAAAATTATATAATATGATAAAAGTATATCCCGAAACTTGGACGATTCAAGTTTTAATAAAAAGAAACCCAAAAAGGGTTATGTATTTGTTTTATTTAGCAATTTAAATTTTATATTTAGTTTAACATACGAACTGTTTTTATATTCATGTTTTGTTTGTTACAGTTTCTTTTCTTTACCATAAAATAAATCCTTTCTCACGCTAGTCGGCCTTTTATTATTTGTCCAAGCATCGAACCCGTCACAAGACATACAAGATCCGTTCTTAGGAACCGATGTCATCGATTTTAGTGATACATTATTTCTATTTAGATACCGATTGTATGTAACTTATTAAGCAGTTGATATTTTTATGTAACGTGGTTTCTAAAATGAATAAAATGCTTTGTTTTTCATATCCTTTAGCCTTTTTTTTTTGTTACAATACTAAGACATCAACAAAACAATCTCACTATCCAAATATCAATAAAAATCAAAATTATATTAAGTCACACTATAATGTCCATCACAGTTCTTTCTGAGTCTGGTTAAATATTCTTGGAGTGGACAGGCACAATTTCATTATAAGTAAAAAAACTTTTAATCGCGTTTGTATTTAGTTTTATTAAGGTTTCGGAATCTTTACAAGTTCCGTGTTCACATAAGACTAAGGTGTTGATTGTCTTATTAATTAGGAGTTTAGCTACCTTCAAAACAATACTATTGGACACATTTACAACACGAAAATAAAAATATTTTATGGAAACGTTTCCATTTATTAAATTAAATTATTTTAAAATTACTTTTTAACTTATTTAAGCCTAGCTAACGTAATCTATACCAGTTCCAGTCTTGTCTGATAAGAACTGACAAAGTCCGACAAGAAAAGTGAATTGCTCCCTTTGATTTAGTATTTACAGAATGTACTAACTTTATCTTTTGGTTTTGCAATGTGTGATCTGAATTGATATTTTATTCGACTTTAATAATCTTATGTGAACATGGAATCTGTCGATTCCATAACGTCAATAAAACTAAAGACAAATAGTGTAAAAGTTGTTTTATTCATGGATAGTGTTCGTGATAATATAAGAAATCTTTTCATTATTTTCGACTGTCATAAGATGGCGTTAGGACGAGTAACATTTATAACGCCGAAATGAACGTGTACATGGGTTTCTAGTTTATTATCTGCCATTCCGAATATGACCTCTTTTTATGCGAGTGGGAGTAAAGTGGTAAAATACTTCACCTTAACAGTGCGATATCGTGATATTTCAAACTTCGCGAATAATTAGGGTAGACGTAACTCTGAGCTATCCTGTAGTCGGTCTTATCGTCAAAAGTGTTGCCGCCTAGTTGTACCACTCCAGCACGGATTATCGTTGGCTCCACTCTGGAACAAATGTTGAGTCAAGTTAATGTTAAAAGGGAAACGAATTGTCTCTTACAAAAAAACGATTTTATTAAATTCACGAAAAATAAGTTTTAAATGTTTAAGATTGCTTATTGTCACAATCGACATCTTGATACATATTTATACTCCATTCACTTTAACATTAGAAAAAAGAGGGTCATAGAAGCAGCAGTGCAAAACATTTTATTGTCAAGATAAATTTAAAAAGTAGTCTGAAAGAGCTGGGCAATTTTCCATTTATTTTGATACCTCGGGGTTGAGATGAGGCCAGCATTTTATAAATTCATCTTTTAGTCCCAAGCCAACATGGAACTAAAACTGAAACTAATTGTGTGTTTTGATAAATTCTAATTGTAAGTGTAATTAGTTAGACTATTGATGAAGACATTGGAAAAACTTCCCGAAATGTCAAAGTTTGAGGGTAGGTATGGGGGCTTAGAGCGTAATTTTTGTAGGCCACTCGGGCCTGCACCGGCATCCTCTATATTTACCAAAACTTAACAACAACAAAAAAAACAATAACATCACGGAAAACGACAAAACAACAAGAAAGGCAGTAGTATTCACAATGGATGACAATCCCAGATTACGATTTTAACAAATATGAATAAATAATAATCTGACAAAATTAAAAAGCTGTACTACCGAAACGTTTGAAGGGGTTAGGCAACGTTTTAAATTTGATAGAGTTATAGTGACATGACGGCACGGCTGGTCCACAAGTTGAAGGTCGCTCAGCGGGCTATGGAAAGGGCTAAGCTCGGCGTTTCTCTGCGGGATCGAATAAAAAATGAGGTGATCCAGCAGAGAACCAAGGTTATCGACATAGCCCACCGGATTAGCAAGCTGAAGTGGCAGTGGGCTGGCCATATTAGCCGCAGAACCGATAACCGTTGGGGTAAACGAGTTCTTGAGTGGAGACCGCGTCTCGGCAAACGTAGTGTAGGACGTCCTCTGGCGCGGTGGAGTGATGATTTGCGCAAGATGGCTGGCAGGAGCTGGATGCGAACAGCCGAAAATAGAAGTAGATGGCGTGCAATTGGGGAGGCCTATGTCCAGCAGTGGACGAATATGGGCTGATGATGATAGTGACATGAGAATCGTGCCGAAACTATGCAACCCTGCTTCTTTAGGTTCTTTACGATGAACACTTTTTATTGTTATAGTTATTAAATCATTTAATTTAGTCATATACTCATAAATTTGTTAAGTATAGCAGCTGGTATTTAAGTATGTTAAGTTAAGATATGTAGCAAATTAGCCGTCAGTCTTAAAAGTAACATGGTTATTGATATTTTGTAACAAAGTATACCATAAAAAACCTTATTTAACTTCTGTCTAATGCTATAATGAATGGAGTATAGTCAGTTTAAACAGAACATATTCAGGCACATGGACTAACTGTCTAATTTTTAAGTCTATCGTTATCCTTATTAAAGGTATAGTGATTATGTTAGCGATTTATGGAATTGGATAACTTTTTAAGAAGCAATCGCTTTTGGAACGAATGATGATTTAAATGGTCAAGAACAATTAAAACTTAAACCGGTCGAAAGATTGCTCAATAGCTTTCAAACATATTTGTGTCTAACGTTTGCCTTAGATCAGTGTTTCCCAAACGTTGTTCTGCCATGGCCCGGTAATATTCACACTGCTTCTTCGTGACCCAATTAATATTTTTAATCCTAAATTGGTTCGGGAGGTAAAAGTGTTTGGATGACCGACCTTTGCCGTATCGTAGGTAGGTAGAATTATCGCCCACGAAATCCGTATATTAAATTTCATGAAAATAATTTGAGCCGTTTCCGAGATTGTATTTTTATATTTAATAAACGATTCAGTTAAGTTGCCGTTAATTGTAATTGTCTAATGGGCCCTCTCCACTATCGACGATAATGGACAATCACCTAGTGCCACCATTATGTAACCGTCATTGCAACCGATCGGCCATCCTACATTCGTTAATTGCCATCTGAACTTTATGGACACCGAAACAAGAATCCGAATTGTGCCCGTGGAGCGTCCTTTTGGTATAATTATATAAACATAAATGGTTAACTATACGTTTTCTTCGGCTACAAAATTTTAGCACGATTATAGGCCAAACAGCACGCGCCCGTACTGTATCTAAATATATATATAACTCAAAGGCGACTGACTGACATAGTGATCTATCAACGCACAGCCCAACCCACTGGACGGATCGGTCTGAAATTTGGCATGCAGGTAGACGTTATGACGTAGGCATACGCTAAGAAAGGATTTTGATCAATTCTACTCCCAAGGGGATAAAATAGGGATGAAAGTTTGTATAAAACTTTTTCAATTATAAACCGATCGGGCTGAGTCTTTGCATGCATTAATCTACTATGACGTAGGCATCCCCTAAGAAAGGATTTTGGATGAAACTTTATTTCAGGTATTTTATACGATATAATTAATAAATATTCGTTAGAAATGTTGCCCAAAGTAACTTTACTACGCGGACGAAGTCGCCGGCAAAAGCTAGTCATAAATAAATACGAACTACGGACGGCGCACGATCATATCCAAACTTCCGTTGATAGTTATCCGAAAAATCGACAGATTGGCGATTATGCCGTCTACACAATGGTGATGGCCAGGGCCACAGTGTGGAGTCAGTGAAAGACAAGCTTTAGACGCAAATATTACTTTATTTTAAAGTTTTTATTAAATTTCTTGATAAATCAAAACACCATTCGTTCCAAAAGCGATTGCAACTTTAATTGTTAAGTTTAATAACTTTAATAACTTTGAAAGGGATTGCGATATATTCTGAAATTAGAGAAATAACCTATAGATTCAGCCGGCGAAGGACTACAGCTTCAACCGCTCGACACATCGTTCATATTCATTCAACACCGAAATATTATTACAAATACATATATATTAAATCAAAGAAGCATTATATTGTTATATCACGTGTTAGTTTTGAAATACAAAAATCCCCCCTGAAAATATTGTAATTATTAGTTAATTATTTTTACCTCTCCAAATTAATAATGCAGTGTGCAGCAGTTAGCACGTACGATGCCGATATTAAAGCCCCACCGCAGTCGAACTGGTATCCGTTACCCCGATCAAAACCAAGAGCCACCTGTGGTAATTAAAGATTTATTTTCCATTGATTTATTCTAATACTGTTTTCTATTATTGTCCTATTACAGTGACAGTACTAACCCATTCTCAATAACCTAGAACAAGGCATAGCTTAACTAGGAAACGCCTAATATTACGAATAGCCTAAGCAGTTTAGTTTAATTCCAAATAAATAGTTTTTCTTTTATCCCTTGACATATTTATGACCTGTCATATACGCAAATGCCTAGCGCAAGTCGCTGCAAATGATCATAGTAATAGTAATTTTTATTTTGCTAGAATGTGGTACACTAAAGATCTTATATATTCACACATTATACGATATAAGATCACCCAATTATGGGCATGCAAAGATATTAATATTTTAAACTAACTTAATCAATTATATAATAAATGATAACTAATACACAATAATAAAGTCATGATTAAATAATAGATAAACATATGTCAATTTCAGCATGATAAACAAATATAAATAAGTAATAATTAATTTTAATAAGATCAATAATCAACACTTAAGCATACGAAGTCATTTCCAATTATCAAATCAAATATTAATGTCAAAGATTATATTGAATTTATGCACATCAAAATTTTGATGTCACTTTTCCAAATATTCATTAACACCATAAAAACATTTTTCCTGTAGCCACATCTTAAGTTTATGTTTGAGTCTATTTAATTCCAACAATTTAGATATTGCTTAATTTCGTTAGGTGGTTCCTAGTCAATGGTGAAACACATTTTTATCTTAGGCAATTCCTATATATTTAGGCTAAGTTTAGTGAAAACGGAAATAACGGTCAGTTGCACAAAATTCCATTAAGGTTTAATGACGCTCTAATGAATGTCAAATTTATATGGGTAATGTCACTTTAAAGTAAAGAATATTTTAATGGACGTTTGTGCAACAAGCTGTAAGTCTCTTTTACCGGATATTTTTAAGCACCTTTAACTAACTGATGTGTTAAATAAAAGGTAATTAACTCGTCGCAATAAAAAGGATGGTATTTAGCACGTTCTCCTAGTTCATTAGCGTATCCTGCTCTGGCATGGATATATTTTTCAACACTGTATATTTATAGGTAAAGTCATTGATGGTAAGTTTTGCTATGTTGTAATGAAATTACAATTAGATCATGAATATTATTACTAACGTATTTAACTCTATCGTAAACGAGGATAGCAAACAAATAATAAAATAATTAAGTAAATAAAAATAGAGATATTATAGTAAAGTAACATATATTACCATATGTGGAAATTCTCCAAGAGATGCCACTTCTCCTTCAATGATGTGTAAATTTAATGGTACTAAGGTTTTGTTGAATTTTTTGCATTCTGTAATAAACAAAATATGTTTATTAATAAATAGGACACGTTCATACAGAGTAAATATAGTAACTAGCTTTTGCCCGCAACTTCGTTTACGTGATAGGCATTAGTATTTACAGTCGTTTATTTTTAATCAACTTAAAAAAATAAGAATAGGTTTTCAATTTGACTGTTTCCTTGTATCCATATTGCACTTTTTTTGTTTGTAGGAGTATTGGTCAGTTGCACAAACGTCCATTAAAGTTTAATGACGCTTTTAAGCTCTAATGAATGTCAAATTAGTATGGATAATGTCGCTTTAAACTAATGAAAAATTTAATTGACGATTGTGCAACTGGCTGTATATCCTCAAAATCACACCATTAAAAAGTTTTAATGACGAAATAGTTTTGTTTTAATATTAAAAAAAACTCTGAGAACTACATGGCCTAAATTATCTATGGTGGTCGGTACACAGAAACTGTAATATAAAAATGTTTATTTTCATAAATAAACATTAAATCGTAAAATCATTCTTATTATGACAAGCTTTATTTATGAGGAGAACTAAACAAAAAATATGAATAGTAAGTAGTATATTCCATCCTCAATATTATTTATTTTATTGATGTAAATACAATAGTATAATTTAACGAAGATCACGTCACGGAACTCATTCGATAAATTGATAAAAGAATATTTCCTCGAGCTGGACTATTCCTCTTGAACTTCCAATTTATTACTTTACTATCGTATGTTTTATATATTTATTTTGGACTATGTATTTGCATTTTATACGTTCTCATGTGTTTTTTCCCCTAATGCACTAACCCACAGTTAATTTTTCATTATTGGTATAGTTTCCTTTAGCCTAGGGTCGCCTGGTAGAGATTGCTACCTTAGCAATAAGGCCGCCTTTTGTGTAACTGTATTTAGTTTTATGTACCTTTCTACTGTATTTCATAGTGTAATAAAGAATATTCAATCAATCAAGATTTTTTGCAATGAGATTTGTTTTGGAGTTATTAAAGGTTAAAAACGGGACCATATTACTAAGACTCCACTGTCTGTCCCTCCGTCTGTCTGTCTGTTTATTGTTACTAAACGCGAAGAAAGAGATTTCTTTGTTGCTTTCATTATTTTAATTTGTAAAACAATAATAATATCATTGCTACAGTCTTTATTTTACATGTTATTGTATACATAAAAATGCTGGTAAATAGTAATAGATACATGCACACAAATAAGTTATTTTCTTTTCTCAAAAATATCGGCAGTAAAATCTAAACTATTCATCCAATTTATTTGGTGTAAAAGACAATTTTTATGTAGATTAAATTTCTTTGAAGATATTAATTTATTTTGATAAGGTCTTAAATAATCGTCTGAAGACGGACAAAAATACACGTATACGACTTTTTTTTAATTATGTGGCACAACCTTAGCACATAGATATATGCCATTGCAAATTTTTATAAAAAAATTAAAAAGCTCTCCATTAATAATCTAGACTAAGAATTGCCTGTATAACAAATTCCATCAAAATCCGTTCAGTAGTTTTTGCGTGAAGTAGTAACAAACATCCAAACCTACAAAACTTGGGCTTTATAATATTAGGAGTATTATCACCATATAGAAAATCGCTATAATATCTATGACATGTCATATTCTACTGCTACAATCATGGCTAGAGAGTTAAGCAGGCGGTTGTTGAAGCCCGTTCTTCCTATAACTATGTCTAGGAAAGGCTGGTGATGATGATATGTTATATTAAAAAATTGTTAAATACCTTGTTCAGCTTTCCGTTCATTTATTTTCCCTTTATCTGCACCTGTCCCTGAAAAACATAAAGTAATTAATTAAAAGAAAAAAATACCAAAACTGGCCAAGGACGAGTAGGACTCGCGCAGGAAGGACTCCGTACCAATATCTTCTGTTTATATATTTGTTTATTAATAGTCTTTGTTGTTATAGAAATACATCATCTGTAGAACTTACAATTTGCTATGAGATACAGCCTGGTGACTGATAGACAGACAGACAGCAAAGTCTTAGGCTGGATTTAGTGTTAGTCTAGTGTTCGACCGACGGTCAGCGCTGACAGCGGTCGAACGTGGCTATTCATTGAAAGATATAAACGGCTATAATACAATACGTATTTCCGGCTATATGCGTTCAGTGCCACGCCGACTCAGCTACCGATATTATGAAGTTAACAAATGGATCCATTTTATTTTTAATTGTATACGTTCGCGTTTATCCGTCGTCAGTCGAGCACTAAATCTAAAGCAAATGAACGACGGTCAGCACATACAGTCGCATACGCGCATGTATTAAACCCTTTGGATATGGTACCCTAAAAAAGGACCACAAAATTCAGCTTCAACTATTTATTCAATTGATCGATGGTCATATAAAAAGATAACAATTGTAGAGATGTAATTTCTGCTTCAAACGTCTGTTCGCATCATCCATCACACAGCATCATATCAGGTTAATATTATATCGGGGGTAAGGTTTTTCCGCAATAGTATAAACTTGTAATTAAATTTATTTGCCTGCATTATTTGTAGTACTTACGTAAGATCATAAAACCCCGCAATGATTATACTTCGGAAAATCACGGTTCGAGTGCGCTGTGGAAGAGCGCGCCAAGTAAAAATTTTATAGTCACTAATAACAAAACAAAAGTTTGGAAAACTTGTTTTAATTTTAAAAGAAAAGGCCTCCTTATCTTTTTTCCTTAAATAGAGAATAAAAGGAGCAAAATCTTGCACAAATCGTAAATAGATAATGCCAATATAAGTAAAAGTAGTAAAAAGTTGGTTCATGTGCTTCCAATCGGATGTCCTGATACGGATAAAATACAAGTCACTTTTAAAAAGTGGAGTAAGGTCGGTTATCAGGAGTTAAAACGTAGCTGTGGAACTGGAAATTGATAATCACGTAATAGTTTTCAGCCCTTTGAAGAAAACTGGGTACACGAAAAGGTCTATATTTGGTTGCTCCACGAGCTAATTGAAAGAAACTTTAAGAACAGTTCTTTAAACGGTTCGGTTTTATTGAAAACAGAACCGTTTTGACTGACTATTAATAATTAGTAGTGAAAAGTGGACCACGTAAGATCACGTGCGAAAAAAGTGGTTTTGAAAGGCTGATCAGGCTTCAAATACTACGTTAGAGTCCGAGTTAACTCACAATGGGGTGAATAGGTGATGTTGTGGGAATGATGGCATTGAAAAGATATTATAAAGTTTTTCTAGCCGCGTAAGAGCCTTGATTTTGAGATATCGCTAACTAGCAAGAACTAAAAATCTCCATACAAATTCTTAACGCGCTCACTAGTGAACGCGTTAGCGTTAAACTTACACTTACTCTGATATCTAGTGCCAATTCAAACTCAATATTAGATTTAGAAGCATTTGTGAATTCAGAAGCAATTGTGAATATTGAAAAATATGGTACGCCTCTCAAATCTAAACTGATGAGATTATATTAAGAGGTTAGGCGAAAGCAGCTATAATCGGTCAATAGAAAAGGTCATCAAATAACACTAGACTTTTGATAATTAGCAAAAACAAGAGTTTGGCTGGAGATGTTAAACCATCCGCCATATAGCTTTGATCTGGCACCATTCGGTCCCATTCCATTTCCATTTCTTTCGGTCCCCTGAGAATTTAGTGTTTGAAGAATATCAAAAGTACTAGTCGCATTTTTGGTTTAAAACCATCAATATTTTTACAGCAATAGAATTATTATGTATCTAAAAGACAAAAAATGAAAATAGGGAAAATTCATCAAACAGACATAGACATTGCAGAAAATGCAAAGCAAATTTTTCCCCAATCTTGTACAAAAAAGTAGATTATTGCAATCAATATTAAACTTAAACAAAAGAAATCTTCAAACCGATTTAGAAATAGGCTATAGTATGTAGCTAATTAACGTGCTGTCGACCATAAGTTGCCATCTAGTGCTTATAATTTATAGCCCGCCCCGCGTATCTCCACGCCATTCGGACTTACATATTTAGTACGGGACTGGTTAGCCCCGTGCCACACGATGTGAAAATTGGCTAGATATAATTGACACAGTTCAGTCGGTTCAAATCTGATGCGGGAAGCGTCTCCCGGAAGTATGCTTTAAGCCTTATATTCATAGTAAATACAATTATTTACTATGAATATACTCAACAATTTGAGCAACTGTTGATTAACATTGTTTTCGCTCGTCGAACAAAAACATTTCAACTTGCAGCGACCAACTCCGTTATACGTATTGTTGTCAACAACTCAACAACACATAATTGGATCAATCCAACTTTGTTTATAAACAAATGTTTCACATGCATACGGTACGGGGCTTTAGTACTTACGCTACGAAACATGTAATGAGTGTGCAAGGTTGAATGTTATATCATAAATTACTTTTTAAAAACTTAAATATATAAAACTTTTTTTGTTTTCTTATTTTTCAGGGTAGACAAAGGTTTATCAGTTGCACAACGAACGAGTGATGTACCTGCGGTCAGATATGCACCGACCTAAACTACTTTTATTTTTAAATTAAGTACATAGCGTGCTTATTTTCACTCATTTGATTACCGAACTTTTCCGTTGTGCGAGGACAGCAAACTACTTCATCATCGCCGCTGAATCCACATCTTTGAAACGTATGGTAATTTTGCTTTCTCAACGCACTGAAATTAAGAAAAAACGCATGTTAAATAAAGCAAGATGGCAATTCTGTTTGTTTAATCCTCACTTTTAGATTTTTTGATGTTGTCAAAGTGTGTTTTTAGTAACGCGGACCGTCCGCGCTGACGACTACGCGCTTAACTATCAACGTATACTTGTTTCAATGTCGTGCTGAACGCTGCCAAGTATAGACAAGGCTAATCTTATGAGTGTTCAAACTGCAATATACAATAATACAATAATGCACTGTATATTAAAAGCTTACAATAAAAACAAAATACAGAATCAGTAGATGTGGAATATAAAGGCCAAATTCGATGAACAATTTCGTTGTTTTGTAACTTTTTACTGTAATATGAATCAGAAAACGACCTCATGTTACTATCTGAAGGATATATAAGAAAAGATTCTATTTATTCCATGCACTTACAACTAACACTATGTTACACTACACATTGCAAAAAATCATAATAAATTAATGAATTTCTCTATTACGTTTTTGCTAATTCGGCGGTTTTCGCAAATTAAATGAGCTAACGAATTCAATTATTTAAAAAGAAGAGATGAGATCAATCACTGACCGACACTTACGTAAGCGCCGCGCTGTAAATTCAAATGAACTTACATCTAATTGTACTGATTTAGAGATCATTTCTTTTTGAGTGCGAGCGCCCGGACGGCTATGACAGACGCACAAGTACAACCGGGCGGTTGTGGGCGCCGCGCGCCCATTAAAAATGAACTTACACTTTATTGAGTTAGAGAGCATTTTACTTCAAGTGCGGGCGACCGGGCGGCAATATGTCAAAGGTTCAAGACTTTTTGGATTAGAGATTTTGCCGCGCGCGTGTTGTATTAAATAAAATTGTTATTTGTGTAGTAATAAGAGTACTTTTAGCTTGTATATCATGAGAGGTATGACAAGCGCCGAAAGCGTATTAAAAGTAAAACAATGGTTATTGTTGATTTATTTTGGTTTTGCTTGATTTCTCTCGTGCATTCGATACTGTTAATATTGCTTTACTTCTGGCGAAGCTTGCTTATTATGGGTTTAATGATAATACTGTTAAGTGGTTTAAAAGTTATCTCACAGGCCGTTGTCAAAAGGTTGAGGTTACATCTCCCAATGGCACTAAAATATACTCTACAACTTCTCCTATATATCGTGGTGTGCCTCAGGGATCTATTCTTGGGCCTATACTTTTTATTTTATACTCCGCCGACTTACCAAAATGTATTGCTAATTGTACGCTGATGACCTACAGGTTTACAAATCATTTCGACCCGCTGACACGGTTCTAGCGGCCAATAAATTTAATGAGGATCTGGCTCGTATAGCTGAGTGGTCGGAAATGAACGGTCTGTTGCTAAACCCAGCGAAAACAAAATTGCTCGTTTCTGGCACTCGGGCGCAAACGAATTGCATTAATACCTATAAACCTGTGTTAACAGTTAGAGGCAATGTAATTGATCAAGTGACTGAGGCTAGAAATTTGGGAGTACTGTTTGATTGTGATATGAGATTTGAGAAACACGTTGCGGATACGGTCAGACAGTGTTTCCACAGGCTAAAGATCCTCTACTAAATACAGAAGTATTTAAGCGTAGAACTTCGAATACGTCTCTATGAGACGCTTATATTGTCGAAATTAAATTATGCAGACACAGTCATTGGGGGATGTCTTCTAGCTAGATCAAAAAAGCTCATACAGAGAGTACAGAATGCTTGTGCAAGATACTGTTTTTCCATTCCTCGTTACGCTCATGTGACTCCGTATCTAAACAGAAGTGATATGTTGAACATGGAGAACCGTAGGAAACTGCACTTTGCTTGTTTATTATTCGGTGTGATTAAAGACAAGTGTACCACTTATTTGTATGAAAAATTAAGGTTCTCGGAACGTCAAACACGAATTGCTTCACGCATGAAATACAATGCATATAGGACCAGTGCATTTCAGGGTAGCTTTCGGTATTCAGCTACGAAGTGCTGGAACAATATTCCTCCACCAATAAGGAACTCCGTGTCGGGTTACAATTTTAAGTTAAAATACAAGAGTCATTTATTGGTTACACAAAAGAGTATGTCAAATGCTACAGAGTAGTGATTGCTTTCTCTGAAGTGCCGCAGCCTGATGCCATTTCTAACCCCATGCTATAAATTCGTGTGAATTTGTTATACTGAAATGTTATTTTAATTGTAGTTTTAATTAAATAATAATTGTAACGGAGTAACTAATATTAGTATTACTAATTATAAATGTTAACCTAAAGTCTCGGGGCGTCTGCTGAAAATCAGTGCCGTGTAGTGGGTAAAGACAGCTCTGATACATGGGCACCAACCAACACAAGCAATTCCATAAGAGGCAAAAAGAAGTTTTACCTTTTTTTTTGACGCTGGGAAACATCGCGAAGTATCATCCTCAATGAATTGCAGCTAGACACGCCAGTTTTTTTTGATCGTGTGACGTAATTTATGGATGACCCCAAAGGGGATCGGAAAGGAATCAGCCAAAAAAATAAAATGCGTCTGTTTAAAGTTCATAGATTTTAAAGGTAATTCCTGGATTATTTTTCTTCAACAATAATAATTTTATATTTATATTATAAATTTCAGTTTTCAATATATTTGGTCAGTATCTTACGTTAAACGAAATACCAATCAGAGGCGTAAAGGAAAAGCGTCGCGGCCCGCGATCGTTGTTGTTAAGCAACTTTTGCAAGGGTCGGTTACGGGATGGGTGACCAAAAAAATATTATCTCGGGCTACTTCGTGTTTCGGAAGGTACGTTAAGCCGTTGCCCTATTTGCAGTCGCATTTGCAATCGTTAATACCCTCCAATCCGGATTGGGCCAGTGTAGAGGGTCATGGCCTACCCTCCTTAACCATCCATAAGGAAGGCCTGAGCCCCTGCAGTGGGGACGTAAAAGGGCTGATGATGAATCAGAGTGTGTGTGTGGGTATTTTGGTATTAAAATTATTTTAATTAATGATTTACAGATAATCCTCATGTGTTTTATTTATTATTTGTGAATTTTTAAATTTGTTTTTGAGTGAAAAGATGATACATATTGTGATGTAGTTGTTTATCGTTTATTTACACTAATGAACTGTATTATTGATAAAGATGAAGGTCTCTCGACTAAAGTCTTCTAAAGTAGGTTATGTCACACATATTATAATAGGGTTGTGTCCTACAAATGAAAATGATGGTTTCTGTTATATGTTTGGAAAATATCAACCACTTTTACTTATTAATTATTTAACAAAATGAATTTTATGACACCAATTTAGAAAATAATATGCTTTGAAAACTTGAAAGAAATTGAGACAATATATAAAAAAAATTTGCTAAATTACATACGGCATTAAATTTGTAACATACAATATAACAACTTTCATAACAACAGCTATGAACATAAACAAGTCCAAATATAAGCATTGCAAAACTTCCATATGAATTTTAAAATATATCAACTTATCAAGGCACCTTAATAAACACAATGTTGCTTAAAAATCTCGGTTTCATCTTAAAACTATCTAGGACTTCCCAGAACTCTACAAATATGAGAACCACTCAACGTTACTGAATGGGGGATAGAAAATGCTTGGGTATATTAAATTAAAGTGACTATTTGTTGTTTAGGTGAACACCCTTCAAACATGTTTAAAATTAAGTGCACTGAAATTGACACCAATCAAATTGAAGCTAATGTAGGTACACAGTAGTACATGCAGATTACATGAATACCAAATTTGTGTTTTGTATGGTGTCAAAAATAACATGATAATTTATTTGCAAGCATGTCATTAAGAAGATTTAATTGAAATTCAATTGAAATAAAATAAATAATGTAGTTATTTAGTATCTAAATTATCCTCTTACTGACCTCACAGCCACCTCACAGTCTGTAACCACTGTACAAACACCATCCACTAGTTCATTATTAGGTACACAGGTATCTCCAACTAAAACAAATGATTTATACATAAAATAATATTTGTATTAAATAGAACTGGGTACGGTACAATTATGATTTTCTGGCAGTGCTAAAATATACTGAATAAACTTAATAAATATTGTGAGTAAATCATACTGATAAAATACATCACCTTCTTCTGCCGATATATTAAAAATTAAAACAATGATCCACACGAAAAATAACTTCTGCCACATTTCTATTAAGGAAAAAGACGATCTACACTAAACATAAGAATCATCAAATAACTTCATGTAATTGATTCGATTTTCCTCATCGAGACAAAAAGCACGATCAAGACGACAAACAAAATTATTGGGATAAAGTTCAAAATTGATGCGACGTATGATGTCTTTACAAAAGTTCATCAACTGAAACCGGTTTGTTTGTTTATCGCGCGACGTCAATGAGTTTTTTTTTTAATTGTTTTAACGGCACCAGGGTCTTGCCCTTTTTTGCCTCTTGTTCCTATCTTCTTAAATAACATTATTTTACAGTTTTCAAACACAGTTTTAAACACTAACTCGTTAATTTTGTATTAATTAAGTAAGTATGTAATGATTTGAATCATCTTAAATCGTCTTCTTCTTTTTAATGGGGAATATATTTAAAATAAGATTGGGCAAAAACTGTCGATATATCAAAATATCGATATTGCCTCTAGAAAAAATCGATATAAATAAGCGATATATCGGCTTTCGATATTTATTTTCAGATATCAAATTCGTATCAAAATCGATATATTTTTTAAAGCTCTGCCGTACGCTCATGCATCACATCTTGTAGTTCTTAAATTTAGAAAAAGAGTAGGTAGGTAGGCAGTAGGCTGTATGAGTTTCAAAATTACAATCTATGACCTGCTTGTCTTTTTTGTTTATCTATGACAATGAAACTGCTTGTTGATATCACTGAGAGTGCTTCTGATGTCAATGACAAACAAATACTGGTTTGTTTGAATAATTTACTTTTTGTTGTGTTGATGACGTTGTTTTCATGGCTTTATGTCCCTTCTTGGAATGAGGAAGTATTTAAAAAAAAACAAAAGAACTAAAAAAGGATCTCCACTAGGTAGCGACTCTAGCAAAAGTTATTTTTGCCGGAAACGAATGGATCAAAGACAGTCATTTCCGTTCTTTTTAAGTTACATATTAAAAAACTGAAATTTGAATAATTTGAAACTTAGATATCAATATAAATACGAAAAAGTACAAATAGAATATGAGTTGTTTATTGAGTATTAGATTATATGATTATATGATATGATTAAGAAAACTAATTTACTTTTAAACGAAAGAAAACCGGAAGGGTTGTTATGGAAAAATCAAGAGCGTACCGTAGCGACATCTAGTTTGATTTCGGCAATTAAAGTTTTTTTTAATACTTCCTCATAATAAAACTGAAGTCAAAACAGCCAGGTATTTGCTTTAAAATTTCGAATAATTCGTGAATTTTTATAGATAGTCGCTTATTGCGCAGAATATATCGATATTTTTTATCAATATTTATGGATAATAAAAATAATAACAACAGTTTATTATATATACAAGTAGTATAAACTTAATAATATTTGAAAAAAGTCGAATCGATATATATCGATATCCTTTTCCCATTTGCCCATCCCTAATTTAAAAAAAATCACTTTTACTAATCACTACATGGCAGCACAAATTGTAGGACTCAAATATAATGAGGAAGTATTAGATAAGATAAGATAAGATAAGATCTTTATTTGCCAGAACACAAGTCATTGAGGTCACAAATAATCAGACAAGTACAGTATTCTGCCTGCGGACAGGCGTGCAAATATTGTTATTATATTATTAACTTATTACATTTCTTATTATCATATTATATATAAAACATCTCATAAAATTACAAATTATTATTATATATTATCATTATGTCATTTTTTTTTTAAAGCTAAGAAGTCTTTAACGCTATAAAAGCAGTGTTCTAGAAGCCACTTTGTCAGTTTTTATTTAAATTGATTCATGTTTAACAGTTTCATGTCATCTGGCAAATTGTTATATAAAATTATGCACATATTGTAAATATTGTTTTTATAGATGTTTTTAAGACAAGGAGGCTGATACAACAGGTTTCTATATTTTCGTCTAGTTTGTCTCGGAATAATGTCCACACGTTTACTCCAGTAATAGGAATGAGAGTGAACAAATACACAGATATCTTTTATATACATACAAGGTAGAGGCAAAATATTAAGCTTTTTGAAAAGTGGCTTACAGCTATCATCGAACCAAGCATTACACATAACACGAACACACTTCTTTTGAATTTTAAAAACTCTGTTTAGATCTACAGAGGATTTAAAAAATAAAGATTAGTTCTTGAAATTAAACTAGATGTCACTACCGATGTTCGCATAATTGTCTATGATATTTATTCAAATTCTCATTAAAAGCAAATTGAGCATCAAAAATTAATAAGTATAACATCTTTTCATATTTTTTTATAATATCTAACTTTCAAATAAATTTTAATTTATATGAATAGTAAGTTTAAGTTGTTTATTATGTTACGTGTAAAGGAACGATGTTTGGTTTATATGTCAACATTAGTGATGAGACAACTTATTGGTTGCTTGTCACATCAAGAACAAAAAGCGGAGCGCAGAATTCAGCTTGTTTTTTTATGAGTATTTCCATATATGTCATTACGCATCCGCACATCGAATAGAATATAGAACTGTACACAATGATGGAGAAGCTCGCATGTCTCCAACCAACTTTAGTCAATCGTTCGGCTCAACTCCTCCTCCTGCACGACAACGCGTAATTTCATACTGTACAGCAGACGGTCTTAAAGCTACAAGAGCTGGGGTTGGAAGTTCTCCGTCATCCACTGTACTCACCAGACCTTGCGCCTACAGATCGCTCTACGCTACTGCTACTTCACGACAACGCTACACAGGGTTGCTACGTGCACGATCGCAGCGCCCTCAATTTTTTTCATGACTTTATAGACAGACTGAACCATTTTGCTTAAATATTATGTATATGTCACGAACTCACGAATGTAATTTAGTGAATCGGCGCAAAAAAGATTTTATGCGATAGAATAGGAAGCGGCATTTTTCTGTGGGCAAACACTTTGTAGTAGCCGCTACCCCCTCCCGACACGCTACACATTTTTACGTCCTGTGATGTTATGTTATGTTTCACGGCGGGCTTTTCCGCAACTCGATACTCAGTGCCTATTTTGCATGACACGGGGTTGCTTTAGTCCTGCCACCCCAGCTCCTCCAGGACCGCCCTGCTCAGAGGACTGTCAGAATAACCCATGTTATATAGGTGTTTGTTAAAGTTTCCATGTCCAGTAAGTATACCTACTATTTGCCTTAGAGTCCTGTTGCTTCAATCCATTTATTTTTAATACGGAAAACTAAAAAAGCCTGGTTGGCTGTATCATTGATACAGCCATATTTTATGCGTGGATACGTCTATATATGAATGGATATATGAGTAATTGATAAAAAACAAAATACTAATTATTAATGTTTTAAATAGAGTTTATTGAGTATAGGTCGATGATATAAAAATATGAAACGTAACGAAATTGGTTAACATTTAAATTACGTGTAAAAGTTAAATCTAAATATGTATTGCCCAGAGTTGTGGGTTGAGTCTGGCAACAATCCAAATTAAATTCTTTTTTAGAAAATTAAGTAATGATGAATTTTCATATATGTCGGAGTTAAAATCTCCACATAAAATGATTGGTGTTTCAATGTCAGGTTCCACTGTCGGTAAATTTTTTTTTATAGCTTGAGAATATCGAAGTAATGATTGAAATAAGAAAATTTTAACTTCATTTATAGATGTCTTGGAATGAATATATACAGCTACTAAAATGAACTTTGTATTATTTTTGAATGATACTTCAGCAGAAGTGAAATCTCCTACGAGATTTATATGGACGTGTGTCTCACCAGAGATGTCATTTATTATTGGTACACAATTTGTGAAATTTTCCACACGATTATATATGGCAACTCCATCTGCAAGTTTTTTTCAGGTTCGAGTCATTATATTTTGTCGAGATTTACAGATAAATCCACGGATTTTTGTAGATGGCTCGTTGTCACTTATCCAAGTTTCACTGCATACTAAATATTCAGCAGTTTGGAGTATCGAATCAGTGGAAATGTCATCAGTATGAGCAGCAAGACTTTGTACATTCATGCTAACGATGATAATCGGTTGAGGTGTATCAGTTTGTGTTTTCTCATTCGAAGACTGATCGGAATCTGGGCTTTCGCAAAATTTTTTAGCGTTGTGACTCAAGGTTTTTAAGTGATGGCGTTTTGATCGTTCGTACTCGTCTCTGATATTCTTTTGAGTGGCAGACGATTCACGTCGACCATGATAAAATGAAAAATCATTTTTTGCATTTGTCAAGTAAAGACCTTCGAGCTTAGTAACTCTACTAAGTGCTACATATACTAATTGAGTATTTTGTGAAGCATCGTATTGAAATACAATTTCATCAAACGTACCACCTTGAGCTTTATGAATGGTAATAGCACAGGCTGGGACGAGTGGAAGTTGAGTTCGTTTACATTTTATTGATTTATTGAGCGAAATGGTTCCTGTGCTTTCATTTAGAGGTGTCCACTCCAACTTTAGGGTGTTACTATTGGCTATGACATGTGGTCGATACTTTATGCGAGCTTTTCGACCAATATTTTCATTTTCGAATTGCAGCCATACTCTAAAATGTGGTGATTGGATGGAATCGGATTCATCAGAGTTGCTAGGTTCGGGCATCAGTTCATATTGACCAGGATTGTCAATCACTTCAATGTGGACTAATGTACCGATTACACCATTGACCAAACTATCTTCTAAGTCGATATTACTTGTGATCATGTACGGGTATCCTTTTGAAAGATTAACTACATGAGGCAGGCCGTGAGTTTCCACTGTACTCATTTTATGCAGTTGAGTTTTCGCATTTGTCAGTTCTGTGCTTGTTCGATAACCAAGAAATACGTCATGAGCTATACACGCTTTAGGTGATTTTATAATTTTAGTATTATACTAATCAACATCGATATTACGGTGGTATAAGCGGATAGCATTTGGGACGTTTTGATTACACCATTCAGCACTTCGGAAGCGACTCTCTATTACTTCGAGTTCCGGCTGTGTTAAAAGTTCTCCATTCCCAATTTTAGTTAGAATGGCTGAGAATGTGGCATCACTTTGACGCACTACTCGTGTTAATTCAAAATAATCAAGTGACTGCCAGAGTGTTGCTCCTCCAATAGACTTCCCGCACGGTACATATATTGGTCGTGCATTCACCGCAGGAAGTTGTCGTAAGTCTCCACAAAATATAATGTTCATGCCACCAAATGGTCTATCAGTCAAAGTTGTGATTTGTTGAAGTCGACAGTGAATCTTTCTTAAAATATCAGCACTGAGCATGCTGATTTCGTCGATTATAATCAATTTTACTCCAGCAAAGAGACTGCGATATCTGTGTAACTTATATAAAGAATTAAGTAAATAAAAATAGAAGAAGAAATACTATTCAATTATAATTATGTTTAAGTACCTGCAGTAGGTACTTCAACAGTTTTTTTTTATAATATGATTGATAATGTATATCAAACATGTAACATGCAATTAAAACATAACTACATTAAAACATGCAATACTCTCAAATGCTTAACCAAATATTAGCATACGATTATGTGCTAATAAATAGTATTTGATTAAATCATATACGAATATTGTATTCAGTTTTAAAAAGTTTTTTTTTTTATATTTGGCCATTTATTAATATGTCAATTTATAACGAATGAAAAAATCGTTCGTAGTGTAAAAATTAAAGTGTAATCAAGTTATCGATTATTATATACATTACAAGTAGAACATCGTTAACAGCTTCATGTACGACATGACAGTAAAGATGTCGGCGATTTATTGTAAAATATTCATGCTTGTTCATATTGGGGCCATTTTCGATGATGTCCTTTACTTGAATTTGCACGAATTTATTCACTCAAAAATATTTTACATTTTATTGCTAACGCATATAAAGCTATATTTACGTGTTCGTAGATGGATGTGTACATATGCATACGTATGGCATAAAGCTATTTTTTTTTTATTTATTGTATTGTATATTATAATGATACCTTTTGAATAATTTTTCCAGATTTGTCAATTATATATGCCGTAAAATCTACTTCTTTAAAATGTTTTTCACAAACATAAAAATTTTCACCAACATCCAGGTTAGGAAACACATCACGAATAGCTTTTAACCACTCTTCACGTCTATCAATGTTCTTTGGCACTCTAAAAACTGAACGATTCGCTTCTCCAAAACAACCCGGAATTATGCAACGTTGTGGCATAATTGCATTTATAAATGAATAATTAAAAAAAAAAATAAACAAATTGAAGACACTAAACACTAAATAAATAAATATTCGTTGCGTTCATTTGTTGAATGAAAAAAGTATTCACTAGCGCCAACAGATAGCGTTAATGCATATACTCCTGCTGACAGAATGCCCCTCCCCCTGCAGAGCAAGCATAGTTCACTTATACGCCAATAGATGGCGTTAGTGCATATACTCCTGCTCACAGAATGACCCCCCTGTAGAACGAAAACATAGACGTATTCACGTCAAAAAAAACGATAGATGATTTCCTAGAGTGAAACATCAATACACTGACTCGATTCAGTCGTACTATATGTTTAATCGGAAAGTTGATTTTTCAATTAATTTACCTCAGATCACATTCCTAGTTGTAGTTTTGCGTGTAGCGCGCATGACAGAAAATTATGACGTCAAGAAAGTAAATTGCTCTGCACCACACAACTGTAAATAATCTTTTAGTCTGTGTATCGTATTCTCCAGAGAAAGTCTGTTCACTTGTTATTCGCCGGTTCTAAGCATATTTTTAGAGTTATCGTTATCTTGAGGTCTGCTTTCTTGTTGGTGTGCTTTCTTTAAATGAATCCTTTTGTCGCAGAAGTGTATAAAGTGTAGTTTTTTATAATATCTAAATGATAAGACAAAGACGTAGAACGTGAATATTATCATGGATTGTCAATCAAGGACTTTGTGAAAAATAGTAAAACAATGGCATCGTTGACTGGAACAAATTTGAACACCCTTCATACCACATTGCCGAGTCATCTGGCAACGGGTAACCAGTCTTCGAGTTTTAGCATGGCCGTGGCGGTGCCTCCAGCTCCACCACATACTCATGGTTATAGGTTTCATGCAGGCAGTTGTAGTGATTCGTCGTCCGAAACTCATTCACCTGAGGTACATTCAGCGAAAGCTAGTGATCGTGAATCTCGGATAATAGCTGAGAAGCAGAGAAGAAGTCAATATAATTCTCATATAACGCAATTGACAGCTTTGTTGTCTGATATAGTGCATGCCCCACGAAAAGTAGATAAAACAAGTGTCTTGAGACTTGCAGCTAATAAGTTAAGGGTTCACCACATTTTAGGTAAGACAGTGTCATGTGGCCATTTGGAGACATGGTCTGCTTCCTTTACAAAATTTTTTGATCTATTTGATTGTATAATGTTCTCAGTGACATGCAGAGGAAGAATTTTTCTTTTATCACCCAATGTACAAGAAAAGTTAGGTTATTGTCATATAGATTTATTGGGGCAAGATTTTTACAACTATGTTCATATTGAAGATCAAAATACTTTAAGGCAACATATTTATCCCCCTGAATTGAAAAATGGTTGTGATCAAACTCTTTTTGAACACCATCATAATTTTCACATCCGTATAATGAGAGCAGGAGCAAAGTCTGACCCATCTAGGTATGAACAGTGTCGCATAGATGGGGTTTTGAGACGCTCAGATCATGCAACTGCCAATGGTGTGCAGGATCAACAAATAATAAGGAGACAGCGTGTTAGAAGGATTCGCACATTTTCATCCAGTGGAAATGATTTTGTTTTCATTGGTATGATTCGAGTTCTGACAAATGAATTGCCAACACGAGTAGTGAACCCTGCTGCATATTCTGAATATTGGACAAGACATTTGGTGGATGGTCGAATTGTTCAGTGTGATCAAAGTATATCTTTAGCTATAGGGTATATGACAGAAGAAGTAACTGGAACTTCAGCGTTTGTATTTATGCACAAAGATGATGTAAGATGGGTGATCTGTGTACTCAGACAAATGTATGATCAAAGTAGAGAATTTGGAGAATCCTATTACAGACTTATGTCACGTTCAGGAAATTTTATTTATATGAGAACTCGTGGCTTCCTTGAGATTGATAAAGAAACAAAAAAGGTGCAGAGCTTTGTATGTGTGAATAGTCTTGTTGGGGAAGATTATGGTTGTCGCATGATGGAGGAGATGAAGCGTAAATATTCTGTTATAGTAGACATGGAAGAAAAGATAAATCATAACAATGACATACTCGATGAATCCCCAGTTGAACATCCAAAGCAGTTGGAACATATAGTGATGCATCTTGTTGAGCCGCCTGGGTCAGCTTCAGGAAATTCATCTGAAGTGCAACTAATACCTCCATCTAAAGAAAATATAATATCAGCTATTAAAAATAGTGAAAAAGTTATGCAAGAAACTGGTGTCAAATTTGATTCACGTAAAAGAAAAAGATCAGATACGGCAGAAGTCAGTGATCATTTAAAAAGACATAATGGATTGCAGGACTACAGTTACTGATCTGTTTAAATGTAAGTTGTATTTTTGTGTTCCTAAAATTAATCAATAAAATTAATTTTATGTTTCTATAAAATAAGTTGGACTACTTAGAATTTATTGAAGTAGCCTTTCATATCTGTCATGATTAAAAAAAAATACATTGAGCATACAGTTTTATTCCTATGTAAGCAAAAAATTATTTGTTTATAATTAACTAAGCAAATTTATTTTTGCTTAACTCTATAATGTGGCCTTGTATGTGCATGTTCTGTTTAATTTTTTTTAGTTAGGTACTGGTGCAAAGTATAAAATAATGATCTTCTGAAATTTATCAATAGCAATATGCTAAGGTCAACAAAATGTTGATTCTGATCAATGTAAAAACTTTTATGAAAATAAATACATTCATATGAATCATATATTTTATTGCAGGGTTCATAATTATCAGGATAATATTTTTATTGGATAAGTATTTTATAATTATCCATAGGCACTGGCAACAATGTTTCAAATACAAAAAGGCATTCATAACTATAATTTTAAATAATAAAAATTAAAAAAAAAAACAGGTCTCAGAGTGATATCTTACAAGTTTAAGATAAACTTTACTAATCATTGAAAAAAAAATCTAGTAAAACATCATCATAAAATTAGTTTAGATTTCAGTATGGTATGATGGGGTTGACATGTTCAAAAGAATAAAAGCCTCTTAAAATAAAAGAATTAAAAATATAATGGTTGAGTGAATTATTATGTTTGTTATTTTAAATTATACAAACAAAATAAAAAAATTTATGTCTAATCACAATGAACAAAAAGTGAAATGAAAATATATTATTTATATTTTCATTTCACTTTTTATAAATAAAATATTTTGTAATAAAAAAAAGTCAATTTTCTCAATCAGTTAAACCATATTTGATAGTTGTTTAAAAATGTTTGCTCTTTAATAAATAGCTTGTGTAGTGTTTTATAATTATCAAGGTATATTATCATGATAATTATCACCCTGAACCCTATTTTATTGTCAAAAATTTACTATTTTTATAATTTTACACAAAGGTTAATGATACCTCCATAGTAAAATAAAGTGTACATTGTAGTAATAAAGCATTGGAATTTATACTAATTCATAAAATTAATTAGTACAATTTTATTATTATTTTATTAAGACTGAATTAGACCGTTTTAATTGTTTCTAAATGTATTGCAGTGAATAATCATTAATACATAAACACCAGAAGAAAAAATTATATACCATAAAAAATTCTGGATTTTTTTCAAATATGGTCACTAAATTTAGACTTAAGCGACAGTTATATCCACCCCGCCCAGCACAGTGTGTCGCCATGCGTGGGGTTTCGTATACGTAATACGTGGAACTGAGCTCATCTGATCAGCCCATTTTATTAATATAAAACGAATCTGTGCATAGTGAGGGGTTAAGACATAATTGCCGTTTCAGTCTAAGCACATTTTTAATGTTCTGAGTATTTATGTAATAAACTGCTTATTTTAATTAAAACCTATAATACTTGAAAAGTGAAATACTGCATAAATTAAGCAATGCACAAGTCTAATTAGAAAGAGTATGTCAACTTACATGTTTAACTTGATACATAGTTTGAATACAAAACTGGAGTTAAGAATATGGTATTGTCTTGTTTGAAATAATATTTATAAATGCTTTTAAAAATATTTTGGCAAAAATAAACAAAACAAGAATCATAAAATTCAATGAAAATTCGGTCTTGTTTTTTACTCGCGAAAAATTGCTCTTTATTTCATGACGTAATTCAAATTCATATGTAAATGATACAGACGCATGGAGTTTATTAATTATTAATAGATGATTAAAAATAATCAAACAAGAACAGAACTGTTAATACAAAATAAGTTGTGTTGTGTTGCAGACTACGTGATGCAAAGATTGTAAACAAGGTGTTTTTAATAAATACCATAGAAATAAGAGAGTTTAGTTTAGATGCTCTCTTAAGTCAAAAATTGTGTTACTACAAGAAGCCAAATAGCAAAAAAAATTGTGAACCTATAATTTAGCTTTGAGAGATAAATATTATTTGTTAATTCTATTTGTTGGTCCTTTTCATCTATTTGAAACATTGTTTTTAATTAAATATTTAGATTTTGGAAAATATATTACTATTTTTTTATTTAATTAGTCAGCCTACAAGTAGGTTAAGACATAAAGAATTATATAACTAATGGCCGTACAAGGTTACATTTTATTTTTTTATAATTCATCATTAAATTCTTGGTAATCAATTTGTTTTTTTTTTTTATATATATAAAATTGTTAACTAGAACACATAACTGTTTGCAAATTATATCCAATTTTAATTAAGTTCATTGATTTAATGTGATTGGTTACACTTACTAGTCCCAAATTTCAATGGTGCAACGAGAAAAAATTGTGGCACCGCTCACTTAAGCGGCGGTTATATTTATCCCACGTCGCGCGGATCATATAGTTAATTAGTATGGGACTCGTCAAGCTAATGTATTAGAACCAGTAGGGCAATTCTGCTAATGTTAGCGCAATTATGGGAAGTCAACTTTACCACCACTGATTTGTAAGAAAGATATCTAATAATATTGGAATTCAGGTAGATAGTACAGTGGCAAAATGTAAGTAGTTGAGATTATATTGAGATGCGAAAATTAACAAAATGTTCTGGGTCTCAACCAGAACTTAACCACCTAGCGCTACGCAGCGCGAGCTAATATAACTGCCGCTGACTGAGACCGCAGTGTGTTTAAACGGACGCGACTTAGATACTATAGCCAACTATAGCTGAAGTTGCAAAATCGCACACACAAGGCTCACGTTTACAGTCTGCTCATACGTTCCCTTGTAATATAGGAGGCCATGTGTTATTTTTTTGTGACATCGGAATTGCGTTTATTCGTAGTGTGGTCTGAGTTTCACGTTTAAATTTGTATAATTCTTGCCTTCCTTTATCATCAACTCAATCACGAGGCCATATGTAGTATATTTTTTAGAGATGTTTAACTATTTTTATGAAAAATTTAGTACTTACGCGTGAAATGTTAAGTGTTTCTCTTATGAGTCTTTTTTTTAATCCTCAGATAAAACGTCATGTTTATACTATGATAAAGTGTTGTGATTTATTATGTCCTATAATAAGGGTTTGTATCGGCAATTGTTACAAGCCACGACTAGGTTGTTCATAGTGATAGTATGTGTGGAATGGTATAAGTGCGTTCAATCGATGGATAAAATGTTTGGTGGTCAAGGTCTCGTTTAAGAGTTATGCCGGTATGCTGAGCACTAATTTCATTCTCTAACTAAGATCACGCCAGTACATTTTTGTCTAATCTTGAAATTAGATTAAGATTACAGAATATTACGAATTTGTTGTGCTCATATCGACACTGTGTCACTCCGAATGAGATATTGTATAGTCATCTCATTCTCGGCCCATTTCTCGAGTCTCGAGATGGTCATGCTACGCGGGTTGTCTCGAGTTCGAAAGGCTACGCATGATATATTTGAGACGGTACATGCTGGTTTGTTTGTCATGCTTCTACTCATTGAAAGATTGCGCATCGCCTTTTTGGCACTATATGCACAGAGCCGTGGATTTTCCAGATCGACAGTCTTTTTGCCTGACTGACAAAATATCCATCGTTTGTACGCACACTACATAATTTGATATTGTCAACAGATAGTAGGAATATATGCTGATAAACTCTATTTGAGGATTGGAAAATCGGCCTTAAATGATGTAAATATTGAAAGTATGCTTCTAATATGCGGAAGCAAAGTTATCAATCAACAAATTATGTTAAGTGGCACGTATCACACGTTGCCTTCTCCCAGCAATTAAATCGGGATGAGACGGCTCATTCTTTATGACAGGGCCCATTTTGCATGCAAGGACTGTAACTAAATATGTATTGTAAATATTATTTAATAATAGATTTAAGTTTTAACAGTAAAATAACAGTTTTATATGTTTTTACGTGAGATAAAAATTTTTAAATACTAAATAGATTATAAAAAGCCAGTTCATAGTATAAAATTGAAAATAAAATTAGTTTTATCAATCAATTAAAAATGACACCAAAGAAAGTATTTGTACATTATTTGGCAATTACCGTATGGTTGGTAAAAAGTTGAAGTACTGCTCATTTGTTTTATACATCGGTTGAATATACATATATATTTATTGGTAATGAAAAAAAGAATAACCGACAAGGTTGACTGAATCCCATACTTTATATTGAATTGATGGACACACTATGAATGAGTTACATAAAAAGGCAAACAGTGTTATTTAGTAATCCTTCTATAAGATTCCTTATAAGGAAAATAGTTGGTTTTTTGACTGATGGCTTGGGATTATTTGGACTCCTCGTAATAATACTTCTTTAACTTCTTTATCTTTTTCTTATTGCTAGCGGTAGCGACCGATGTGCTACACTATCGTAGTCTTTATTACTAATATAATAAGAACCTATTCTATTATATTAGTTAATTACAGAATCGAAAACGCAGTTTAAAACATTAAAATGGGATAGGTATAACAGAACAGAATTGCTACCTACGTTGAGCGGCATCTATCAACACTTCTCCTCGCCCTATACTTTTCTGTCTCTTAGAACCGCCATTTGCTAGAGAGGAAAATATAGCGGAATCATCGTGCTGCCAGATGTAGCTTAACCCTAAAGCGAAACAGCTGTGTGGTACAGATCAGTTTGCTCGCCTATGTTGGCAGTGCCGTAACGAACAATTCAAACATGCATAAAAAAGAAAAAATTGTGGTACACGACCAAGAAGGTTTCAAATGAGTGAATTCAAAAAAGGCCTCCTGCGTTATATTTTCAATAAATTAGAATATATTTGAAATGACTGAAAGTAGAATCACAGAAGTAAGCCACATGTAATTAACTAGATGTTTAACTTGTTATAGAATTTCACTAGTTTGCCAAATGTAATACCTATAAGGAGGGTTGCTCAAATTTTTTTATTCTAATATAAATATAAACCGTTATTGATGTAGGTACTACGTGTAAAGATTCGAAGATTGGTAATTTTTGCATAATATTAATAATGTTATAACATGAATTGAATAGGATACCTGATCACAATTTTGATTTTTATTCATAAACATGTTATTTTGAAATTCGTAGATTTTGCACAGACAAAAATATGTTTGATTTATGATGAATAACAGTTTTTATTTTATTTCTCTAGTTACTGAATCACGTTTGCGTACAAAAATAAAAGGAATAGACAATCGTGCGACAGATGAAATATCTGTATCAGTTCGTGAGGTCCAATTAAATAAGCGCCGCGTGATACCACGCCCTGGTAACTAGGTATTGTTATACATCACGATACATGGGATGGAGCTAATATAATCAGTTCCATTCGAAATAAGATATATGAATCGTGGAGAGCGGCGGGGCGGCCTAAATATAAACGCAGCATTACGTAGGTCTGTTATTCATTAGTGTTTTCTCTGTTACCACCTGTATCGTTGCGCGATTTCAGTG